GGGGGGGGGGGGGGCTTCGCCAATGTCCAGTTCAAACTTTTGAAAATAGTTAGTTTGCTTTGTTTCTATGTCAGCCCGTCAATGATAGGTTTTAAATGTGTCAGGCTCATGACTCGGAACCAATACCATCGAGAGGGTGAAATGCCTCCACGGCCCACCTACACCGAAGAGTGCAAAGACCAAGAGCTAACATCTCAGTCATCATGTCCATCAAAGCGACTCCACGGCCCACCTATACCGAAGAGTGCAAAGACCAAGAGCTAACATCTCAGTCATCATGTCCATCAAAGCGACTCCACGGCCCACCTATACTGAAGAGTGCAAAGACCAAGAGCTAACATCTCAGTCATCATGTCCATCCAAGCGACTTTTGAACCCTCCCACCTCCCCCACACCCCACCACCCTGGCAAAATATATTGTCTTATGGGGATAAAGTCGTGTTCCTTTAGTGTCGCAGCTCCTGAGTCTTCAATAAATATTTTGATGGAGAGACGTATCGGAGTTGGGGGGGGGGGGGTGTTAGTATAATATAAAAGTTTATTAACCCTCCTACTCCCAAAGACTCGACTCTGGCATGACGTATGTCCCTTTGAAGAGGGTGACATTAGTAGATTTAATTAAAAAAGGGACTGACTGCGCCATGACGCAGCTATAATTGCGTATCCGGAAAATTGATCGACGGAAACTTGGTCGAACGGGAATTTGGCCGAATCTTTTTTTTTCAGTTCACACGTTAAAATTTTACTTCAAATTTATAGTTTGAACGCATTATTTTGTTTTACTATAAAGCATAGTGCGTTAAAACATAAATTGGACGTCAAAGTTCAACGCGTCAATTGAAAAGAAGATTTGAACAAATTTCCGCTCATTCAAATTTCCGTCGATAAATTTTTCGTCGATCAATTTTCCGGTAACCCAATAATTGAACACATTTTCGATGAAGCATTTTGAGGGCGGAAGATGTTTAAGACTCCAAATCCAGTCCAGCAGTTTCGCATTCTAGACCCCTTTTTGCACCCTCCCTCTGTTTAAAATATCTTCTGAAACATCACAGTGACGTTGACAATTAGTATAATAAAAAAAATGAAATGTTGTTATAATGAAAATCAAATTGTCATAGAAAAGATTTCGTCGCACGGGGGGGGGGGGGGG